TCCCGAGTATTACGTTGTGACTGCTTTATATCATATTCGGATTCGAAAGTAAATCGTAAATCACTTCTGACAGTGATATAATCACAGTCAGTCAGTGACAATTAACGGTACATTAAATCTGTTGGTGAATCTTATGAAAACTTTAGGCACATTATAGTTACGATTTTGAGAAGAAAATTACTCACAATACTTACTTTTCTTTGGCTACAACAATACCCAAAAGTTGGTCTTCCAGACCTTCCAGGGTGATCATAAAGTTCAAAAGGGATACTTTGACCGCAACTTCGGGAAGATAGTGCGGATTACGCAGTTTAGTTGTGATGTACAAACGAAAATCACGTGAGTATTCGATCACATTCTCACCCAATCGTATCATATCTACTCCGCCTGAAATGAGCATAATGGGAAGACAACGTGTTGTTCTGATCAGATAGGATCGGAGTAAACATCGCAAACGAAAACATCAGAATAATCGTCAATCTATATGGCATTTCCGTTTGAGTAAATTTGGTCCTCACCATCATTGTATGACGATGCTGAAATGAGAAGCTTGCCGCTTGTAAGTCGAATTAAGGGTGATTCATTTTGAGATCATGAACCAAAGTTCTTCATAGGCTATTTTTTGACTACGCAATTGATCCCAGAAGAGCATAAATACAACCCGCGACAAATTATTTCATATCCCTAGATTTGTGGATTATTTTCGCCCTCACAGGCACGATCATCACTAATTTTGAGAATCTACACAGTGCTCGAATGAAAAATCGAAATATGAAATGTCGTCAGATTATATTGCATTTTAACACACAAGTTTTAATTTGATTATCCGGTCAGCGGATCCGCTTAGAAAAATAGTATCTGTATCTTAGACGAGTCAAGCGTTGGTCTATTGTCATCGTTGCTTAAACATTTTCCATTCCGAATTTCCCAGGTGGTGCATCGTTCCACAACTGCTTCTACTCTGGTGACTCCTTACCAACCCCTAAGCAGCATCGGCTTCAAAACTTACCCTTCTCCGATGCCGGTCCAAGAATCACAAGATCGATCGGGTTCATTTATCGATCGGTTGAAAGATTCAGCTTCAGTATAGGACGTGATGCTTGCCCGCCTAACCGGAGCGAGAATCCTCACCTTGTCCACAGCCGCGAGTCTTTTGCAGACCCGGTGAACTTCGACTGTGCACAACAGGAGTGTCATAATCACACGGCTGGACAATGTGTGACACCAAGAGCATCACAAACATTAAGAGCCGGTAATCAGACAGTCTCCTGTGGGGTTCAGGGATTCCAAATTGTGCAAAATTACGCCAAACGATCCAATCAGACCATGGAGATGGTCAGATGGAATTTAATTGCTTCAGGTCGCCGGTGAGAGGGACAAGATGATGGGAAACGATGGCGCAGTCACACTGTACAAAGAAGGATTATCACGGCGACAAAATTATTGTATCCCACGCAATTCACACACCCAAATGGGATTCATAACGGGTGCGATAGAGACATCCTGAGTTCGTAGTGCGGCTTGACAACCGTCGTGGGGCGGTCAGTTGTCAGAAGACTGGTGCAAGTTGTGATCATGCTACACCCTGGTGACAGTGGCCATATGATCACGTAACTCTCAATGACCATCCAGGAACAAAGACATCCAAAGTTCCTACAGGGCATTGTCAACCACAGCGCGATAGAAGAGGCATACTGAAAACGACGAACCCAGACGTGATGCCATTAGTGAGATCAATGTCAGCACACACACAGATAGCCCAACGGGGTATAGACTCCGATCACACCGTGGCACGGAAAGCAGAAACAGTTAGAAACCGGTCATAACCGGACTGGACGCCAGAAAAATCACTCCGGGAAAGATAAGTGCAGATCGCTATCTATGGTCTCAAACTCCGTGAGTCGTGCAACCGAGATGAAAACAGCACTTGAGTTGAACGTTTCGGCGCGAACCATAGAAAACAGAACACTTGAAACGGCCCTTTAGATCAAATACAAGAAACTGAGGCGACAAATAGCTCTAACAACATTACAAACGGAAAAAGATTCATTGTGAGCTGAAGCTCATCTAATTTGGAGAAACTAATGGAATTTAGTCAAATTTAGCGACAGAAACAANGCTTGGAACCGCTAGTGGTACAGTTTGTGTAAAGAGTAATGGTACTTTAGTACTTCAGTACTTCAGTAAGGGCGGATTAACGATCGAAACTCCATGCTGTTATGCGGTCCCTACTCCAGTAACGTCAGAAAGGAACTCGCTATACTACATGGTTTGCAGGATTCTGATGTATATATTCGTACATCGGGGCCGTTCCTTATACCAGCAATGACATCCATTGGCCAATCTGAAGCCATTTTCCGGCATAATATCACCGTATTTCCTTATCCGCAACTAACAAAATGTTGGCTATTCTTTCGCGGCTTCAGAACAATGGTGTGGTCTCTCCTTGGTCTCCCACATTTGAACCAAATAAAGAACATTTAAAACATCCCAAACCAACACTCAAAAAGTTCGAAAACAAAGCGATAATTGGAGGTCTCGTTCATTAGGCAGTAGAATCACATTGCCACAAACGTAATTTAAAATATTATACAGACTATTAAAGTGGCTTCAAGCGGTAAAGTCCTTAGAGATGGTGCGATACTTTTATCGCAGTGAAAACTCTTTTATTTCTATATTTATATGTTTGTTAATATGTAATTTGGTGATATTTCACATTGCGGTTTTTCATTCGGTTGCCATTTATGTTCTCAAAAAATGATGATAATCGTTCATGTTGGAGCGGAGATAATTCAGAACTCTCGGGGGTGCAATGTTTTTGTCGGTGAGTATATATAGAATATTTCACACACTTATCTCCTCGGTGTGTGTGTGTGTTCGATTCCTGTCATCACCATCACCACCTAACTTACTCCATTCTGTATTGTATGGCACATCTTTCAGTGGTTCCTTTCCCTTTCTTAATATTGTATCATTACATTTGCAATAGAGGGGGAAAAGAAGAAAAAATCGTTCGTGAAGCTGTTTATCATAATATCCCTGTGCATGAGCCCAAAACCCAAGAGTGAGCATTGTAAGTACAAAGAAGTTCCCCCATTTGATAAACAGGTTTAAAGTGGCGAATAAACCAAACGAATGACAGCAACATTTAAATGTTACCCGTTGTTTATATCATTTGAGAGTAATAAATAATTAAATTAAAGTTAAATTTAATCGACCAATAAAATTCTGAACACAGAAGAAAGATGTTTTTGAAATTGGTGTCGAAAATCTCTACAACTGTCCCAAAACGCGGACTATCTTTCAACTTCTCGTTTCATTATTCAGGTAACAAAATAACAGTTTATTAAAACAGTTCCTGCAGGCGGAAAGAGCTATTTTTCGACAAACTAAAATAATCGACCAATACAATTTTTAAGAGATGATTTACATTATCCGATCTGGCTTTGATTGCATCAAACCATGTGCAGTATATCGTTTTATGTGGACGTTTAATTTGTGAAATTCACTCGGGCTTTGTATATTACTTAACTTGGGCAGTATTTTGGTGAAGGATGGATAACTTGACTGCACTCTGAACCGGATCAGCTCAACCGAAACATTCATTTATTCGCGGCTCGTCCTGAACAAAAACGGTTCCGTTGTGAACTACATCTGGGTGGACAGATGTGACTTCTCCAAGATTTGTGATCAGGTTAGTTCTCATCCAAAATCCGATCCATTATTAATAATGACTGAGTGCTATACAACATTAGTTAGATTGATTACGCGATTCGGTTTAAGTCACACTGCTCTGAGAAGTGCGATGTACCGCGAATATCCTATGTCCCATGTTAGGCAATGAGACAGCGGGAGTGATCGTTTATATACGGACACCGGATTATTCCTGCAAACTGTCCAGTTTGAAAACATCAAACAAAAATATTATCGGTCAGATTCGGTCTAACCGCAGACTAAGAAAATCGTCCGTCTTGGATTGATTAATCCGAACCATATAGAGTCCATGATTGATAGGTATTTTTGTCACGAGAATGCTTGCCATGGTTATTTGCTTGACACTACGCCTGCACTCAGACACGTGTGAAATATACCGATAGATAATATAACGAATTGACGCCGTCCGTTATTCGCTTGTTATTCTTCGTTTGACAGCTTAAGTATGCGGGAATACGAGCAAATGGTTATGTTAACAATGCGCCGTTTGAATCGATATTAATATGAAGTTGTGTGCACTCAATCGCAAGTCTGAAATATATTGGATGCCAACATTGTGTAAAATAGAAATGGATACAAACGAACTGGAAAGGTCGACCAGGAGTATGCTCAAACGTCCGTGAACGAAAAGAAAGCGCATATTGTGCAGACACCACTAGTGTCTGTTTATATCCAAGTGTCTTCGGGGATTTTGTCACAATCCGTACCTTGTTTGAATGTCTGTTTGAGTAACAGCGGTTCCAAACTGGGATCCAGATCTTCTCCGACATTCTCGAGCAATACGGGCGTACCGAACTGGATACCGTTCTCTAGGTTCCGCATAAAATCACTATCTGTCAATTTGACCACAGTGATTCCGGCCTCCTTCTCCATATTCTTAATCCACTTGTTAGCTTGACCCTGGGGATCAATCATCAATGGCCTGTTACAAAGCAGGAAGAGGACTGGTCAGGCAAACAACAATCCGTGATTTTCGTGTCTTATAGGGAAACTTTCCTGAAGAGGAACGGTTGACATACAAACTGAGTTTCAGGTGCTCATGTGCATGAAGACAATCAAATGTAAACACCCTCATCCCTTAAGTGACCTTCATAATTCTTCTGGAGGAATCAGTCGCTTGAAATTTTTATACATCATTGCCGCCCCAACTGCAAATTAAATTGTAGATAATATGTGAAACATTCAAATCAGTAAGGCTTTTAGGGTATAAACGGAAACGGAAACCTCGACGATGATTTGTGCAAATGCAATTCATCATCGCCATTGATGATGGAGCATGGTGCACTGGCATACGTAGACATATACATAGATATAAGTCTACGTGTTTATGTCAATTATAATTCGATTGACGATACTACTGTAGATATGTTTCGATAGTTATTACGGAAATCATAGCGTGGACTTGTTGGTCAACCAAGACAAACCTTGACCCTCAAGGTAGTAGTGAGTGGCTGAACGCTGCAGCTCATTTACGGCTGGTTCCCAATTAGTCGAATAAGAAGCTTTTGGGTGTAATCCAAACGTCCAATAAGATCTATCGGCCAATCGAACCGGTGATGTTAGAATATCCTATAACCTGATCGTATGCCTCATTTTGGGAGTTTTTAAATCAGTGTTTCCCATTTTCCCTTGACGAGCTAGCTGCCCGTGACTCATCCTCTCTGCTACCGCCCCGGATATTGGCTTCTATCCCATCGATAAAAATATCACCAACCTATCAGTGAAACATCCGCGATGTCAAAAATACGTTTTCTAAACTGTCTATGGAACTATTTTACGATTTAAAACATTGCGGACAGGCCTAACTACCACCGTACATTTCCTCACGAAGGTTAAAATTGTTTCGTCATATTCGTAAGTTCGATCACTTATGTTGATTGGGGTTTTCTTGAGGGAATTTGGGAGAAATGACTTATGGATAGACTGAACTAATTTCACCGAGCAGCTGTGCACAGTAAATGTTTGTGATGGATCTGATACAATCTGATACTAGGCATCTGTGTGCAACTCGGGCGAATTAAAATAAATTAACATTACGGCAAATGGAAAATGATTGTTTTGTAATGATAAGGCACAAACAGCCGTGATCCAGCGTGTTAAACACTTTGATAAGTGTAGCAAATCTAATAGGCATACCTACAACCCATACCGCACAAAGTCACTAACACTAACAGTAATCTGTTTTGTGGCTGATTGTTCATTTCAAACTATCAAAAATTTATTGAGGATCTACGTAAACTTTAGGTATCATATTGTTTGATTTATTCACGAAACTCATATCATCTGGCCCCCTTCATTCGTAATCACTTCCTTTCGGGCCAGTTGTATTCCTCCTCTGGTAACCACCGAAATCGAAAAGGCCGTCTAATGATCAGCATATCTTTTGTCCCCTATCCGATCAAACCCATCAACTTCCTCGTAAATGATCACACACTTACCATCGTCTTGAGTTGGCCACAATAACGCTGTTGTCAATGGAAAATGCATCGCGAGGCAATCCGTTGATATTCCACTGTTGTATCTTCACCGGATCACCCAAACATTGAGTGAGTGAGAAGTGCTCGGAACACGCAATGTTATACTTCAAACAAAGTGCTACCCAATCGTGCACACAATCTTCCCGATAGACAGATGTGAACGGGCCGAGGTAGGCAATCACACCGGCAGCAACTAGAACATCACCAGTCAGATTTTCGTACACCAGTTGCAGTCGCTCAGCTGCTCGACCCCATCGATCTTTCTCACCACCCAATCCGCCAATAAGCTTTTTAGCTCGATCCAACTTGGTCGCGCAGGACATCACTTCCTCTTCTAAACGTTGTTTCTCGTCTTGTGTGGCTTGTAATTGCATCTGTAAATTTTCCAGTTTCTCCTCCACTTCCGTAAGAGCAGCTTGGGTCTTTTTCAGACAGGCCATATTCTCAGCCAGTTCAGCTTCCGCTTCGGCAAGTTTGGCCCTCTTTGGAGCTACAATTTTGGCCACACGATCATATTGTTCCATTGCCATGATCCATTTGCACAGACCTTCGGCAGCTGAACTGGCTCGAGCCACTTTGGCCGGATCGAATTCTGGATTGACCATGTAATCTTTCCGGATGCGTTGCATAATCTGACGAGAGTAAACATTTCACAATGTTGGTGGTTAATATCAATCGATTTTTCCAGTCTCCTGTTTCAAAACTGGCTTGTGCCAAGCTGCGAAAGAGAATCACTTCGGGTCAGACACTGCATTCATTTCTTAGAATAAAAAATCGCTATTCAAAGTTACTCGCAATTGAAAAGATACGGACACAGTTTAGGGCAACTTGGACCTTCTAAACGGCCATGATTAGTACGAAATGACAATTTTTCATAATATATGCTGGGATTTATTGAGGTCTAATT